AACTTTCCGTTTTTGCCTGATCCGACCTAAAACACTATAAAACGCCTACTGAGCCAGATGATATTTATATGACAAAATGTGAACATATTCAGCAAGTTATACTCCAAGGATTTATCGATTTGTAAATGTCAGCTTGACATTTGGAAAGACGATCTGGTAAGTTTATGTTTCCCTATATGGACCATAAAACAGCAGTTCATCCACAAGTCATTACGGAATATGAGATATTTTATTATGGCACCTTACCAGCAATATCAATACTTTATATAGCAAAAGGACGACCTTCTTCTACAAAGGGCGTTCGGAATTGAAGCACCGATCAGGCTGAGCTTCTAGAAATACTGTTTTAAAGTTATATTCTCAAATGTAGATGCACTTTGCCAGTTTGTCATTTGAGGTTTAATGAGGTGTGAATAAATTTTCTGATCGGTTCGTTTTTAACCTCTTCCAAAGTATTTACGTAGATTCGTAATAGACCAAGCGCTTGATAGAATTGAGTTTGCAAAATGTGAGGACCGCATTTTATGAACAGATATCAACTGAGAAGAGGTCAAAGAGTACTTGGATCTTGCCGGACCACTTTATGGTCAATTTTCTTATAACCCCTACTCTTTAGTATAAAGGAAATAGGTGGAGTACATGCAATAGAGTGATTTGAATGGTTATTTTAATTAATTTATATTTCTTCATAATTAAAGGGATAATAGGTGGTTAAATGAAGAGTAAAAAAGGGGGGTTTAAATCAACATTAATTATTGATAAAAAATAAAAAATGGAATGTCAATAGGAACACATTGAAAGGACTGGTTTATTATAAAAAAGTTTCCGATACACTTTGCTATAATAATACAAAACGTTGGCTTTGACTTCAGTTTGATGAAGGTGGTATGTACAGTCTGTGAGATTTAAATGATGATTTAGAACGAATTTTTAATTGGCTGTGATAACAAACTATGTTTGAATGCCGATGAATCTAAATTTTGCATATTTAGTAAGAAATCAAAACTTAGGGGAGCGGAAATTCAAAATGTGCACATTGCTGTGAATAGGGAAAATATTGTTTATAATGGGGAAATTAAATACTTAGGCATTATATTGGATTGTAGTTTAAACTTTCAAGCTCATGCTGATTATGTAATGCGAAAATTTTCAAAAAAAGTCGGTTTTACAATGCGAATAGGTAAACATTTAACCATGCATACAAAATTACAACTTTATAATGTTATTGCTCTCCCACATTTACAGTTTTGTTCCACTTTATCGTTTAATCTGCCGCAGTATAAAATAAATCAAATGGAGAAAATACAAAACAGAGCTATGAGACCGATTTTGAAATGTAACTGGTATACGCCAATTGAATGTATGTAGAGTGTTTTAAATATGTTGTCTGTGAAACAAAGGGTTATGTTTAATGTGTATCTAATTATTTTCAAAGTTAAACATAATTTGTTACCTAACTATTTATGTAATAGATTGAAGGTATTGAGCGACATACATGGTTGTCATACAGCTTTTATTTTGTTAGAACGGTGCAATTCGGCCCAAATGCTAAACTCGGTTTTATATAAAGGATTATCTGAATTTAACAAGTTACCTGTGTTAATAAAAAACTGTGATAACCTAAACCGGTTCAAACGGTTCCTATGACAATTTGTTTTAGATAAGTGTTAGTAATTAGTTGTATTCTGTTTATTTTAATTTTGGACATTTTAGCCCGATTTTACCTACTTTATATGTACAATTTTATTTATACCTGTTTTGTTTTGTTTTTTTTTACATTTTACTACGTTAAGTTTTATCTCTGTTTAGTTTTCAATCTAAAATTATCAGTAGCCTTTGTATTTGTATTTCTATTCGTAGTACTATTTTTAAATTAGGGTTTGTAGGTTTATTTTCGATTCTATTTGTTTTGTGAAGTATTACACTTTTTATTCAATTTTTGCATATAAAAGCACAGTGATTTTTTTTTCTATTTCTATTATTGTAATAAGGCAAACGTGTACTTATATGTAGCTCTTATGCTAAATAAATGCTTAATTATTATAGAATCAAGTTTACCAATTTTGACTTAACAAAACTAGCGGAAAAATCGCTTTAAAATAAATTTCTCTTCCTCGAGGGCTGGTAGGGGAAGGTTTTACGTCAAAAATAAGGAGTTTTAATCGAGATTTGAATCATTGAAGATGTCCATATTTAGGGTTTTTCAGACTTTAAGGCCCAGTGAGAAGTCTCCTTGGTAGTAGCGAACTAACGGATCTGATGAATTTGGGCGATTTCTTTTAAGACCTAGCTAATCTACAAAAACCTTTTTATTTCATTTGTGTGAGGATATAAAAGTTGACGCAAATTCCATCGATCCAAAAAGTATGTGTGGCCTATTGAAAACATAGATCAAACCTGATACAATAGATTGACATGACGCCATTATTCAGCATTTCATTGAAAATAACAATGTCTCACTGCTGCTGCACAAAATTCTGCTTAATAGATTCATTGACATAAATAAAATTATAGAATGATTATTCTTTAATAATATCAGCTAAATAATCAATTTACTTACTGTTAACAAAAAGATGTCGGGCACTCTTCTGGACGGTAGGATCACTATACGACCACGCTGCGTCGCGGTGTCTGTGGCCATGTAGTTGTCCTGCTGCTCAGTAGAGGGCGTGAGATGCTTGTTAAAGAGTTTGTAATTTTATTTATCTCATCAAAGAATCTATCAAGCACCATTTTTTACAGTAACAGTGAGACACTACCATATTTTGAATAAAATGCACATTTAGTTTCTGTCATATCCATCTAGATGTATCATATTTGTGTCCATGCTCAGAGTATAGCGCAAATGCTTATTTTTTGGTCCATTATATGATCATGGCCGCTAATTTGGTGCGCGGACGCAAATGAAAAAATAAGTTTTTGTAGCAGAACCAAGTGATTTAGTATTTGTTGATTTATTATGGGAATTACGATGGGCTTACACAAATCGTATCATTTTACTCTAGTTTGAGAGACATTTCACAAGAAATCAACCATATTGATTAGATTCATTACTTCAAAGACGCCTTCTCATTGAATGAATTTGTGATTCACGAGCTTAATAAAATCGGTTCTAAATAGCTGATAGCTCGAAAACCACTAACGTAGAGAAAAGTTACTCAGGACTCCTCTTGTTCGGAAAGATCTGAGAAATCAGAAAAAATGATCTGAGCGAAAAACACTTTTTGTAATTATTTAAAAGGGGAGGGGACAAATCATGGACGAAAAAGTGGTCTGACAAGATCCTGATTATTATTCTTTGACCTCATGTCAATTGGTATCTGTTCATAACGTGCTCACATTTTGCAAAATGAGTTTCATCCTTCATCCAGCGCTTAGTCTATATATATATATATATATATATATATATATATATATACAGGGTGACTTCGAAGTTGAGTCATTTATTTTAACAGTGAGTAGATCTGATCAAAAGAAATGTTTTTTTCCTTTACCATTTTTCTGGTAAAATTAAAGTAACAAAGTTATAGCCCTTTGGAAGTTTGAGTACCGCCCTGCCTATTACGTATATGCTCGTGTTTGGCGACAACGGATATAATCCGCTTGACCGGTTCATCGCATCGGAAACAAAAAAGCGAAAGAATTTGAAACGTTTATCACGATGTTTTTCGTCAGTCGATAACGCGTAAGTGAATAGTAGTGTGTTGCGTGGCTCAAACGAAATCAAAAATGGCACATGTTTACGAAAATGCTGAACTTGTGGACATGATTCTTATTTACGGGGGCGGCAGTCTTTACAAAATGCTCCCGGATGCATCACGGATTTATGCGAATCGGTTTCCCAATCGAGTGCCACCAACCCCTCGTGCCTTTGTTAATGTAGTGCAAAGGGCTCGTGAATCAGGTGACTTAAGACCTCACAGGTGAGGGCATGCTGCTCCAAGACCGCACGATCAAATACAGGTCCGCACTGAAATACTTGTCGGGAGGATACTTTATTAAACAAGGTAACATTTTTTTTTTATTTTTACACACATATTTTGGTTTATCTTCCTTCTACAATCATTATCTGAAAATTAATGACTCAACTTCAAAGTCACCCTGTATATATATATAGAGAGAGAGAGAAAGTACAGATCTGCCGATGTAGAATTTTCGCCGATACCAATAATCGGTCGTCACCGATATATGAGAGACCGATCTACAGACATTAACGGTCTATCGGTCGTTCATGTTTTCCGTACAGAATTTTGTTCTCAAAATAACAGCGAATATTTTTCATTAAAGCAACGGAAATTAACAATACATCTAAATAAAATCAAAGAATTAATTGATATTAAATGTTTTCAATTTTCTTTATTATCACGATTATTAGAAAAATGAAAAAAAAAGATGCGATGGCCGGGAATCGAACCCGGATCAACTGCTTGGAAGGCAACTATGCTGACCATTACACCACCATCGCACTTGGCTGAGGATTCGATTGAGACGTAGACACCGTATACCCGACTGAGCCGCGTCGTTATAACGAGTGCATTCAATAAATTCTACTACGCTTATAGTAACTTGTACAGCAACAACTTTTTCACATCAACATTTACTGAGACAGGTTTGTACTTGGCGTTAGGGCCGCCTTAAGCTATGAAGGGATTTCTGCAGGGCAGTCTTAAGCTATGTCATGCGGCTTTAGGGACTTCAGGCCAGAGCGAAATCCGTTGAAGAACGGGGGAGGGGGGTACTGTGACATAGGGTAAAAACGGAATATGGCCCCTGGACAGGAGGGTCGGGGCATGCGACTGAAGGCGCCTCGGTCCAGAGCGAAATTAGGGGCCCTATCTTGTCGCTGGATGGGAACGTACTCATAAATTTTGATTTTTTAGCATTTTGGGGTTCTCATAATCTCGGGGTCACGGGACTGGGCTTCGTCTGCCTATAGGTACAGATAGAATAGGTTGAGAGAATTTTTTGTATGAGCAACGTGGACTTTTTGCTTGTTCTAGAATACGCCACAGTCGGATATATGGCGAAACGAATACAAATGAGGAAAAACAGGTTCCTAGCAATCCAGAAGATTGCAGAACAGAAAAAGCTGAACGTGGACGGTGGTCCCGACAGTGACCACGCACCAAAGCAAACAGTTAGCCGACAAACAGTTGGCAGCTTCCAGAGATACCAGGTGAGTTACATACTTTCATTGTAACAATACTTTACGAGGATTGTTGATGGAAATAAGTTGACTGTATCTCAACATCATCATTCTCTAAAATTGAGAAAAAATGAAAAATTATGCCTCTATGCTTACACTCTTGTACAAATTAAGTTGCGCCGTATCTTTCCATGTTAGCGAAAATAGGAGCAAGCGGCAGCTAGTGAACTCGAGTTACGAAGACGGGAATCATAAATTATCTTTGTGGAGTGAGCTTAAGTGCAAAGAAATCTATAAAAGATATGCCTTGCCCATAGTTTACAAATTGTTTTACGTTAAAGTAGTTGGACTAATCATACTGCTTTACTTTATAATTCCTACGATTTTTTAAGCTATATGCTTGATAAACTATATCATCACATGGTTGGAAGTCCAATGAAAAACATACGGTTGAAGTTGAACTACACATTCTTAAATTATCATTCACTACGACCACCATAGCATAAATATATTTCTATGGAAAGTTGAAGCATATTAACATATCTTGTTTTTTTTTCATTATACAGCGTCAGGTAGGTAGCTATGGTATATGTATACGTATATGAATAATCTTGTTTTTTTACGCTGTAGACATAAGCAGACATTTCAGTACCGAAGGTATCGCTGTCTCTATTCTGTTTTGGTCCAGTACTTCATTATGATTAGGTAAAATCTAATGTGAATTAAACTGCCAATTATGACATATGTATTATCTAAGAGAGACAGCACTACCATCAATACTGTGGTGCCTCTTACAACTATAGCCCAACGACCAGCATTTATGGGACTTTGGGCGCTTGATGCGGAGTGCGGCAGCTGTCGATGCCCACCTGCTTTCCTCCACTGCCTCTCACGCCAACTAGTGATACTATAAAAGCGATCCAAAATGCAGCCAAAAAAGGGGCTTGAGTCAATTTTAGATGATTTTGTAAGGTAAAGGATTTTTGAAATTTGGACCTACCTCGAAGGTTTTGAGCTATGCATCTGCTATTTGGCAAATAGATTATCCATCCTCGCATTTACAAGTACAGACTCAGCTCTTGTTTCAATATAATATTCATGCATATACAGTGCTTATTAAAAAGATCCTCCGGACTTTATTTTTTGAACAAGTGAAGTTAGCGAATTGATATTCGGGACGTCAAATTGATGAGCGAATACGATATTTTGGTGTGATAGTGATTGTTGAAAATTCCAGAATGGCGACTGTGCGCCATCTTGGAAAACAATTTTCAAATAGAATGGGCCGCCATGGGAAACCTCAGTTTAAAGCTCCTTATAAGTACTTTAAACTCAGAGTACAAATTTACTATATTTTAAAATGGCGCGCTGGCGGGTTGCCAAAGTTGAGTATCTTTGTACACTGAATCGACTAAAAATAAAAGCGCTGAAGTACTCGTATATCGGTCTTTTGGACGGGTCTATCTAGATGTGTAATAAAATATGGGATACTCCGTTCAGAAAAAATGACAGGTTTTGACATTTTTTTTTAATGGAATGCGTTATGTTTTATTACATATCTGGATAGATCCTTCCAAGAAAAGAAGACTGACATAATATTCTGTAGCGTTTTTATGAGTTATAGAGCTATAAGCAATTCAATGTATAACAACGCTTGACTTTGATAGCCTGTCAGTCCGCCATTTTCAACGATACTAAATTTATACTCTAAGGTTATAAGAATTGTCTAAGATGGCGCCCAGCTGCCATCTTGATATTTTAAACAAGCAGTTTTACACTCAGATATAGTATTCTCGCATCAATATTATCCCGAATTTCAGCTCACTAACTTCAACCATTATTTTTGAAAACCGCAGTATAATCGCGTTCCAAAATTTTTTTGTGATCGAACATTGGCGTTCGAAATGAATTAAATTAATGCCTGCATAGCTCAGTAAGTCCTGTAATGCGTGATTCGAGTCCTGTCATAAGCCAGGATTATAGTTAAGTGTCAAATTGGAAAACATATCCAGGTAATGTTACTGTGTCAAGATTCACGAAATACGCACATTGACAGAATGAATATCGCGTTAGCAATGACGTACATTGGGTAATGCCATTGATTAACGATTTCCACAAGAAGATAGCCAACCAGGCCACCCAAAAAACCTAGTCATTTGGAGCTCATGTTTGTAAACCACTATTTTGACAGCAGATTCGTGCCAAATTCGAGATTCTAAATCAGACTGCATTTTCATACTTGAGCTCTGAGCTCACTGCCTAGGTCATATTTTGAGGTCATCAACAAATTGCTTCTCACATTTCCTTAAAAAATCGGGGTTGCCAAGCTTTCCGGTTGATCGTTTACTTTTCTGACGTTACAGGATGTCATATTGATTGAACCACTTATTACTCGAGGTCGGTACAAGCCATTGTCTAGGTCACATTCGAGGTCACCGACCCATTGCTTTTCCGATATCCTAAAACTTTTCTTGAAACATTGCGTTGTTGTCAGGTTTTTGCAGTGTTGATGTACTTTTCATACGTTACAGCACATCTATGATTAGTGAAATTTGCCTAATGATGCATAGAATTACTGGGGTTGAAGGCGTATAAATATATCAACGTAAAAAAATTGAGATACACCCTCCCCCTCTCCACGTACAACCCCTAATCCCAATTTTAACTCCTAAGCTTGAGCGATTTTTATTTTTAACGTTTTTTACCCCTAGTTTCGCCACTACTGGACGATTTCCAAAAACTACAGTGATTTTCCGTGGGTTGCATAGTAGTAACATTGTTTGAACATTTCATCAAAATCCGAGTAGTAATTTCCAAGTCAGGCTGTATGGTTTCCGGCACCAGCGATCCACAGGTGACCTCCTAGCTTTCATCACGCAATTGTGGAGTAAACTCATCCAGTCTTATGGTGATGCTCATGCGTTGCTCATGACATCACGAAGCAAACTTCGATCCTATGGCCTCCCTGAAAAGCTTTGCACATTGGTGGCTGGCCACAAGATATCCGTCGTAATTGACGGGTTCTCCTCTTCATCCCACAACGCCAACGCGGGTGTTCCCCGGGGATCGGTGTTGGCTCTGACATTTTTTCTCTTACATATCAACGTCGTCCTTTCCTGCACGATCAAAGACTAGCGACGACTTCCTCTCTGATGAGAGACCTGGAGACACTGCTTGGGGCGCAACAATCTTGTACAGTTTAATGCTTCCAAAACACAGTACTGTACCTTGATGAACAAAAAGCGTCCTAGCGATCATCCGGTTTCAATGGATGGCCAAGTTCTGACAAAGAGTCATTCATTTCGGCTGGTCGGAGTCCAGATCACCTAGGACCTGATCTGGCACGAACACATCTCGTTAATAGCGGCAGCTGCTGGGAAAAAGCTAGGCTATTCATTTAGGGCTAAGCAGTACTTTTCTCTGCATGACCTTCTCACTCTATACAAGGCCCAGATAAGGCCTAGCCTCGAGTATTGCTCACACGTTTGGGGTGCTGCCGCCCCGACTACATTATTCATGCTCGATGCTGTCCAGAGGAGAGCTGTCTGACTGATCGATCACTTTTCTCTAACAGACAGTGTCGGGACCCTTTCGCACCGGCGGGCCGTCGGCGATCTAGGTCCCTGCTACCGCTACACTCTACAACTCTCTTCCATGATGCCGCCGCGCGATGTGCCTGCCAGACAGACCCGCCTGACCTTGGCCTCCCATCCCAACCGTGTCGAAATTCGTACATCCAGAACTGGCCGATACGACCGCTTCTTTGTCCCGAGGGTGTCGAGATTGAGGAAAAATATACAAGAGGAAGCTTTTCCCAGTTCTACTAACCTTGGGCAGTTCAAAAATGGGATTAACAAAATTTCTTTGGGATCATCATAGTAGCCGCGGTGTCCCGGCATTTAGGCTTCTGCCTGCGCAGCTGCTTCGGTATAAAAAAAAAAGGTTTTAGAGGGGTCAAGAATCAGCAGTCAGACAGACAGACGGACCGACAGACAGACCGACAAGAATGAGTGACATGGTTTTTCGTGACCACATGACAAAAAACATCCAAAAAAGATAACATCTCAATAACGAAATTTTTCACGATTACAATACTACAAGAGTGCTCGTACATCGTTGTTTGTTCGATTATATGTACGAGCCCCTTCCCACTTCAGTTGTCCCACTTCAAGATTTGTACCAAAATATGCCGTTATAAACTAAACATGACGAAACTATTTACTTCTAAAACAATTTATTTTCTCAAAAACATTTCAGATACTCTCTAGTCTAAAAAATACATATTTGAAATGACTTAGACCTATAACTAATAGAACATCTGAACAAATAAACAATGTGCGAATAAATGTCCGAAGTTAACAAAGCAACAATTGAAAGATTACCATTGGGTAACATCAGCTTTATTTTTTATTACGGCTGAAATTCTTTGGGGCATAGTGTTAACCAAGTGTTGGCAAAAATTTGGTGTAAAACAATCCCATATTTCTTGAAGCTTTTGTCTCAGTTCGGTGATTGTACGAGCAGGATGTTGTCGTAGAACCTTTTGCATCTCGTGCGACAAAGTTTCAATAGGTGACAGATCGGGACTGCTAGAAACCCATTTCAAAAGTGGTACATTATTTTCTTCCATCCATTTTATAGCCTTTTTTGAGGTATGACACGCTGCACCATCTTGCTGAAACACAAAATCTTGGCCGGATGTCAAACATTCTTCCATCACTGGTAAAAGCGATGCTTCTAAAATTGCCAAATATTTGTTTGTATCCACATTTCCATCAATAAAATGAAGTTTTCCTACTCCTTTTGATGACATACTACCCCAGACCATAATGGATGCTGGAAATTTCACTTTTCTCTTCAGACAGTCAACATGGAATGCTTCATTTTTTTGCGAATAACTCTACTGCGACTGTCACCAACACAAACTTCAAATCGGGCCTCATCACTCCATTGTATTGCACATCATTGTTGAGGTGTCCATTGTCTATGTTCTTTAGCCCATCTAAGCCGATTTTTCTTTTGCAGTGGAG